CAGACCTTGGAAGACAGAGGCAGGCAGATCTCTGAGTCTGAGGTCAGCCTGATTTACAAAGTGAGTTCTAGGACAGCCAAGGCTACACAGAGAAATCCTCTCTTGAAAAACCAAAACCCAAAACAAACCATTTTTTGTTGTTGTTTTGTTTTGGGTTTTTTGTTTGTTTGTTTGTTTGTTTTGTTTTGTTTTGTTTTTTGAGGCAGAGTTTCCCTGTGGCTTTGAAGGCTGTCCTGGTAGCTCTTGTAGAAGGCTAGTCTCAAACTCACAGAGATCCACATGCCCCTGCCTCCAGAGTGCTGGGATTAAAGGCGTGCACTACCACCGCCTGGCAGAACAAACCGTTTTTTTAAGGCAAGAAAAGGAAAAGAAAATTAAAGATTAAAGCCTCTGATTAGAAACAAAATGCTCTGTGATTTGCTAAAGTCATAAGGTGCTGCCATCATTCATCTCAACAAGAGAATGAAAGGGAATGAGAAACAAAACAATGGTGTTTGTGGAAGTTTCTTAAACTTAAGTGAGCTTCCTTGAGGAGAAACTGCTAAAAATGTGTGTCTTCTATAGAACTAGGTTTCTGACTACTGACCATAGAAGGAGTCATTTTGTAAGAACCTACTGATGAACAGGGCATCGTGCTAGATGTTGAAAAACACCTAAATAAAGATAAAAGGCAGGACTTCTCCACTCTGCAAGAAGCTGTTGCCTATTTTTAGGAGTTTGTGCAACAATAACTAAGTTGTTGAAAACTCAGATGTCAAGTAAGGACTACTCTCACGCCTAAGTAAGTCCCAGGAATCAAAACAAAACAAAACAAAAAACCATTTAACTGCAAACTAGAGATAACGCCACAGCTTCAATTCCAGAATCAGAGAAAGCTGGGTTAAACATGGTGCTTTTTGTCGTCAAAGGAGAATATCAAACAATAGTTTGTCTTCCAGCACCTTCAGAAGCCAAGCCAGAAATCCAGTTCACAAATGTACAATGTACCAGGACTTACATAAACCATTGTACTCTGCTCTTGAAATCAACTTGCTTAATCAGTAGTGAAGGCCACAATAACAGCTAGCACATTTTTATTCCACACACAGCAGTTTCATGAACTTTGAACTTTTTAAAGGTAATTTCAAACTATTCTTTTAAATGATAGCCTGTCTAGGGAGCTTTTGAACTACTGTAGGCCAATAAATGATATATCTCCTTCATTGGATGGCAGCTTGGGATTGGGAGAGATAGTAAAACGAACTAACAACTCAGCCTTATATTTTAAATATACTGTTGTCAGATAATTAGGAGTAGAATGGGAAAACAATGTGGAGAGCACTGAACTATGTGTACTTGGAAAGTGCAAGTGATTCTTAGAACATTACCTGGTACACTGTAGATAATTTTTTACTAAATTAATATATAAAAATGTGTGTGTGTGTGTGTGTGTGCACGTGCGTGTACATGCCTGTGTGTACAAGTACATGTGTGGGTATGTGTTATAATGACAATAACTGTTTGTGTCTGTCCTACTGGCCAAACTCTATTCAATATTTTATAGAACTTTTTATCATCACCACCTCCCTCATGTTTGACATGCAATGCATTTTTTGAAACATGTGTTGAACATGTAAGTCATGATTTGAATAAATCAATTAAAGTCCCTCATTTTGTTATTTTGTTTTTGTTTTGTTTTTGTCTAAACAGGAAAACATAGTTGGCCTATAAATGATTCTCAGTAATACTGAGACTTCTTTATAGGAATAGCTGGAAATCAGTAGGCATGGGGATTTGATGTTGTTTTGTTTTGTTTTGTTTTTGATGTTTTTCTTAAGGTCAGGCAAGCATAATTAATATTTATCAGCAACTATTTTCCAAGAGGAGTAATATTCAGAAATACCAAGAATAAGCCAATAAAATGAAAAATTGTCCTACCCAAAATATCTAGTTACATTAATTAAAATTTTAATCTTAAATATAATTTATAATTATATGATGCAAAGTAAAAGGTCTCTTTCTAAATCATCTGTTGTGACTCTTAAGCTAACATTAGCTAAAAGAGCTCTGGCGCTGCTCCCTGTTAGCCTTAAGGAATGTCCCTGGCTTTAAGGTCTGATCCCACATGTCAAACGTAGGACCAGAGCAGCCAAGTGAGTTGCACTATGAACTATGTCCCTGTTCCTAACACCAGCTCCAGCTCATCTGGTCTGGGAAATGGAATAGAACTTAGTTGTTGGCCCCTACTGCCAACCCCCGATCAAGACAAAAAAAAAAAAAAAAAAAAAAAATCTCCTAAGTCACAGTGGAAACTTTTTCATTCCACAGAGCTCTTGCTCAGGAAGGCTCTGATGATGGCTGCCATCCTGGTAATAATCAGTCTGTCTGTCACCTCAGAAGCAACTGTAAGTGAGAACTCACAGTTGCAGGTTCCCCTATGGTTTTTGCTCATGGGATAACATGTGCAATGTGAGGACAAGTAGCATTATCCCTTGGCAAAGGACAGCCAGTGAAGGAAGCCCACAGGCTTTGTGGTTGGAGCCAGCTCTCGACTTAGTATTGCTCAACAGTGCAGTCTACAATCAAAACTCACAGTGAATCACAGCCAGACCTTGTCTGAGACACTCACTCACATTTGCACTGGCTTGTTCACTCTAGAATGAAATGCATATTCTTACCATCCAAGTTCTAGAACATTTTGTTTTGTTTTTTCCAGTAAGAATATTTTGCTCATGTTTTATACTCTGTTGTTCATTTGACTGCTGTTTCGTCTTGGCTCTTTCAATCATTCACATATGGATCCCTTGCTCAACAGGGTAAAGCATATTAACAACAGTGCATGCATGCATCCATATTTTCTCCTTGATAGAAGTTCATTTTAAATGTGAAAGTAAGAGCAAAACATACATGAAAATAAACTAGATGTGATCAATTGGGGTCATTTTTTATTTTTTATGTTTACTTCTCATTCAATAAAAAGGTAAGTTAGAACTAAGTAAAGGTAAAACAAAATCATTCAGACATATTATAAAGATAAATAAAAATAACTTATACACCTAATACATTGCCAAATTAGGTCACAAATGGACCAATAGATTCTTCATATAAATGAATGAGATATTGTGGAATCCATGTATAATGTCATGATAAAAGTGTAAGGTAATTCAATAAGCTAGATAGCAATACATCCACCAGCAACACAACTTTATTATCTCCCTTAAGTGTCAGTTTGTCTTTTTTTTTCTCTTTATACTTCCCCACATAGTAAATACAAGTTTCTTGTGAACACATTTTTCTGGCATATACTTATCTCTTTGTATAGTATTTGGTATAAGAATTATGGTTGTTGTTACTGTACATTAATATGAAAAAATAAAACCAAAATGTAAAAGTTTAAAAAAAAGAAGTTTATTTTAAATTTTATTTATATCTATATGTGCTTGCATACATATTTAAAGGACATTTTAAATAACTGTTCATTTTCCTAATTAAAATGTAATAGTGTCTGCTTTCCATGGTATATAGGATTTCTTTAAGCCATCCATTAGAGCTGTAATACCTTCATTATAGCTTTTATATTACCCACATACTATCCCCTGGGGAATTAAATAATTTATTCATTTCTCCAAAAATAAGCATTTGTCAAAGACAGACATGTGGCTGCAAAAGCATCAACACAAAAGTGACTCATTGCATGCAATGAAGCCACCATAAGGGTTTCAGTAGATTTGTCAGCAGGGACTGGAGGGTGGCGCTTTTCCAGGTTCTTAAAGGAAACTTAAAGGAAAAGTCTGCCAGGAAAAAAACAAAAACAAAAACACTACAAGTATCACAGCTGCTCAAAAGAAATAAAAAATAGGTATAGATACTTTCAAAACCAACACAGAGCTTATCACTGGGCCTATCTTCAAAAAGACAGTGAGAATTTTTCAGTTTAAATAAAAAGCTCAGAAACAATATGAAATTATAAAGCTCAGTGGTAAATAAGAATAAGAACGAAAATAGGGTATTGTAATAGGGGAACTATGGACTGTTGTCTTTTACTTCTAGTATAAAATACAAAGCACAAAAATACAGCTTGGGAGACAGCTCAGTTGGTAAAGCACTTGCCTTGAAAGTATGAGAACCCTGAATTGAATCCCTAGAATCCATGTAAAAACATTCCAGGCACAATGGTAATATGTGGGAAATGGAGACAGGAAGGTGTTTGAGGCTCACTGGCAGTTTCAGATGGTGAGACCTATGTCTGTAAGTAGGCAGAGAGGTTGACAGGTGGAGATGACAGCTCAGCGATGGTCTTGAAGAATGGGTACAGTCTCCTGTTAGATCTCTCCCTCATTGGAAGCCTCTTTAAGCAGATGGAGTACACTGGACACCTCTTCCCACTGGAGGTCCATCAGAAGGGTAAATTGCAACAGCAAGAGGCATATGCACTTATAAACTCTCCCCTGTGAAATTCCTTTAAAATACAATTGCAAGCTCTAAATTTAAAGCTGCTAAGGAAGGTCTCACAGAAGACACACAATGCCCTCAGCAAGATTTATGAATAATATGATTTTTCTAAAGCCCATGACCAGGTCTGACCTACTTGATTTTTCTGTGATTAGCAAGCCAAGGATTTTTCTTTTCATAGCATAGAAAAGCTATCTTTGCTGCTAGTCTATCTCTAATTGTTATTAATGTTCTGTAGAGTTTGGAAGTTCACCATGGGCTACCTCAAAAAACCAATAAATAAGGAAAATAAGGTAAACTTTGGGATTACCCATAAGGAAATGGAGTAGAGAAGCATAGTGACTTGGAGAAACTGCCACCTCCCAAGAAAGGACCTATGGTTGAAACTGGAGGTTGCTAACTGCTGCTAACAGAAAAGCAAGTCTGAGTAACCAGAAAGGTGGCCCCAGAGCCATCACAGGAGCTGGGATGTGTGCTCGCTTGCTGCAAGACCAAGGATTATCCCTTTAAGAGAAACTCCTCCCTATTCCAATAACACTGCCCCCTACCCCAACCCCCACCCCAGCTTACCATCAGGTACACAGCATTTTCTCTTTCAGACTCCCCAGGAGACTCAGGGCTTAAACACTCAGAAGAAAGGAAGACAAGGAAAAGGTAGAAAAAGAAAGCTATTGCAAAGGGTTGGGGACAAGGGGGGTGGGTCCCACAGGTGAATGGAAATGGGTGGGTCTGCATTCACTATGGCTAGAATGAACTTGGCATGTCATTCAGGAAGTTGTCTGATTTTTATTTTTTCCTAGGTATCCTAGAACATGATTCTCACCATCTAAGTATTTTGTTTGCAGAGCTATGAAATTTTACCTAAAAAGAAAAATAGAGAAATAGGGGTAGAAGCTAAGGATAGGAAAAGACTAGGAAGCATAATTTTCTTGGAAGAGAATGGAGTTGAGAATGGATAATTATGGGAAAATGTTATTTTAAGGTACTGACTTGATTTTTGTTAAGGAAGGAAAAGGACTATCTGACATATTGAGATATAGATGTTCCCTGACTTGTTTCAAGTTAAATAGACATAGGCATACTTGTGTGTTTGTTGTATGTATATGTGTGTATGCATGTATGTATTGCAAGTATATATGTGTATGAGTATATGTTTGTATGTGTGTGTTTCATATATGAAGATTCGAGTACCCATGAATCAATGATGTAGTTAGGCCTGTGATAGTTGTATCTTTATTGAATATGCACTGGAATCTCCTCCCCTTGATACTACTTCTTAAGAGATATGGCAAAACAAGTATTTCCAATGAATTGGTAATATAAATTACAAGTAATCTAGAGATGAATTGAAGGGTGCAGGAGGACTCCATAGATTAGACTGAAGTCCCAAGCCATTTATACAAGGAACCTGAGCATCTGCAGATGGTCATGAAGCCAACCCTCTCATGCAGAGAGGCCATCATACACCTAAACATAGATCTTGTTTTAGTGTATTCACATATAAACATTTGTGTGGAGTTGTGTGTGTCTGTGACATAGCTGTGAATGTGTGGTGTGGGTGAATGTTTGTGTAGCTCAGTTGTGAATCTCCGAAATTGGGGAGCTGACTGAAACAAAATGCTTAATATATTTTTGCCTTCATGAATGGACATGTCACCCTGCTGCGCACACACACACACAAAATAAGTAAACTTTTAAAAAGTGTGGTTACCAAAGGTAGTGTTAACAATCCAGATCACTTATCTCAAAGTTCCCAGTGACTTTGTTCTGTTTTTTTTTTTTTTTTTTTTTTGCCAAGGATCAGAGTTCTGGAGTACTTTGGGAATATTTTCATGCTTGCTGAGGCAAAATTTCTCACTAAACCAAAAGTAAACACCAAAACAGGGCCTCAGAAATGCCAGTGGAAATGATCTCTGCAACTGTTCACAGGCACCCATGAAGAAGAGAGTGGCCATCCTTGGAGCTGGCATCAGTGGCCTGGCCTCCATCAGGAGCTGTCTGGAGGAGGGGCTGGAGCCCACCTGCTTTGAGAGGAGCAATGATGTTGGGGGTCTGTGGAAATTCTCAGTGAGTGGGGACCTGTGAAACAGGCGGGGAATTGAGGGAGGAGGCTTCAGGACTAGCTAGGTGCCAGTTGTGATTCCTAGTGGGTTTGTATCCCACAAAATGCAACAGTGGAAGCTGATCAGAAATAAACCCCTTGCAACATAGCAGAAAGCCAGTTGTCTTAGAAAGTTTGTTAATGTGTAGAATTCACATCTGGTAGATCACAAGTAAGAGTCTCTTGAAGACTAAACATCCATAGTCAAATACTAGGTGATTTTATATAATACAGATACATGACTTCTTTGTTTAAAAGCCACCAGGTAGGTCTGGAGATAGCTCCGTGATAAAGTACTTAGCCTCCACAGCATGAGGGTCTGAGTTTGGATCCCCAGAAAACACATCAATGTCAGGTGCAGGGGTGCACACCTATGGTCCTACGTAGTAAGGCAAAGCCATGCTGATACCTATGGAGACTGGACAGCCAGTCTAGCCAAATCTGTGAGCTTATGTTCAGTAGGACACCATACCTCAAAAAAGAAGGTAGAACATAATTGAAGAAGATTTCCTTTGTCAACTTCTAGCCCCAGCATGCTCTTCAACATGTGTACATTTGTCACACAAAAATACATACATACATACATACATACATACTTACAAACATACATACATACAAGTGTATGAGGTTATTTCTAGGCTCTGAAATATGTGTCTGCTTTTATGCCACTACTTTACCGTATTGGTTTCTGTAGCTTTGTAGTATATTTTGGAGTCTGGTAATGTGATTACTCCCAGGTTTGGTTTTTTGTTTGCTTCTTTAGTACTGCTTTGGTTTGGTTTGGATCAAGTCTACTGTGTCTATTTAGAGTCTTCGGTGTTTCCAGAGGAATTTCAGGACATTTTTCACTAGTTTTGTGAAAAATGGCATTGGTATGTTGATAGATTGAATAATAATCTGCATTGAATCCGTAAATAACTAGGGTAGTATAAACATAGCATCATCAGTTCTTCCCATCTGTGAACATCAGAGTTATCTCCACTTGGTAAGGTCTTCCTTAATTTCGTTCATCAGGGTTTTACAATTTGGTTGAAAAGTCTTTCACTTCTTGCTTAAACTTACTCCTTTGTAGTTTTTCTTTTTCTGTTCTTTTTTTGGGGGGTTGATATTTTGTTTTTGTTATAATTGTTCTGTGTGTGTGTGTGTTTGTTTGTTTGTTTGTTTGTTTGAAACAGGGTCTCCCTACACAGCCCTGGCCCTGGCTATGTAGATCAGGCTGGTCTCAAACTCACAGAACTCTGCCTGCCTCTGCCTCCCAAATGCTGAAATTTGAAATGTATATCACTAGGACCAACCAGCTCCTTTGTAATTTCATACCAATTGTGAATGAGATTCCTTTTATGATTTTCTTTAATCTTACTAGGAAAAAAATAACTTCTTTGATAAATGGTACTGGAAAGACAGGATATTAACAAATAGAAGATTAAAACTTGACTCCTATATTTTGCAAACACATAAAAATAAAGCAAAAATAGATTAAAGACCTGACTGTAAAAGTATTAGAAGAAAGCAGGGGAAGCACTTTAAGACATTAATACAGGCAAAAAAAAAAAAATGATATGAATGCAAACAGCAGCACAAGACACAGTAGGTGAATGGATGAAGTGTGACACATTATCTGAATAGAATAGTGCTTGACCTTAAAAAAAAGAATAATATCCCATTATTTTCAGTGAAACAGATGAAAACAGAAGTCATTGTGTTAAAAAAAAAAATGTCCTTGGGTAACTGAATGTGTAGAAGTGATTGCCAAATCCTGGGAAAGGTGAGAGATGGGAAAGACACTGGGAGTTTAAATAGCAGGCACCCAAACACAAGTAGGTTGAAGTAATATGCTCTATATTATAGTTTATGGCAACCAATTATGTAGTTTTGAATAACTAAAAGAGAGTCATCCAAGCACTCCAAACACAACATAATGACAAGATATAGAAAACCCATTCCTTAATCTGATCAATAGGTATTGTACCTATGCATTGAAACATCATATTGGGTCTCAAAACAGGCACAATTATTCTGTATTAGTCAGCATATTTTTAATGTTTTAAAAGATATGATTTCTAAATGCTCTGGTTTAATCATTATGCAATGCCTACATGTATATGATTTCTATGATAGTCCATAGGTAGTGAAATTAAAGCAGCTATGTTGGGGGCCTGGGAGGGCACCATGCTCTATGGAGATACACACCCCTGACAAATTGCCTTTTTGCAGGACAATGCCACCCATTTACAAGGACTATATACAATTAAAATGGTTACTTTTAGAACACAAAACACTTTTGATGTATTAACATATACAAAAATTTATTCCATCTACTTTAAGCTGATAACAAACAACACACAAAAAATCACTCCATTCGTGTTTCCTCCAACACATATTGCATTACTGATACAAAATACTTTTTCTATGTTGTGTATGCATTAACAAGTCTTGGCAGCTGTTTTGTTTGTTTGTTTTACTTTATTTTGTTTTTGAAATTATAATATAATTATATAACTTCCCCCTCCCTTTTTACAATTCCCCCCTCCCTTTATTCCATCCAAGCCCTCTCATTGTCCCCTCTTTGCTTTCTTTTTTCCCATTAATTGCTGTGATATCCATTGCTTAATATAACCTACTTAGTCTGTGTAATGTTACATGCTTGTAAAAAAGTTTATTTTAAAACACTTCTTTTGTATTTATGTAAGCTTGCCATTTACTAATGATGAAAGCAAAAATTCATACTAAATAATAGCAACAATAATTTCAAAATGAGAAGCTGGGAATGTGGGTCACTTGGTGGCATTTACAAATTAATACAATACAGAGTGCATTCAGAAGCCTTAGGATGAATTCCTAGCACCACAAAACCAGGCATAGTGGCTCATACCACAAAACTGAACATAGTGACTCACACCACAAAACTGGCTCACACCTCTAGTCTCAGCACTCAGGAGGTGGAAGCAAGAGGATGTGGGATTTCAAAACCATTCTCAGATACACATCAAGTTTCAGGTCAGCCTAAAATACATGGGGTCAAGAAAAGGGGAGGAGAGGACAGGTGAGAGGAGAAACAGGAGAGAAGAGGAAAGGAGAGAATAGGGCAGGGGAGGGGAGCGGGTAAAAAAGCAATTTAGAAGATTCTAGTGTGGAATTTGTTCTTACAAAACCCAAAACTAATGACACAGCTGCAAAGGGCAGTGCTTTTGAAGTACTTTTGATGCTTTGTCACTGTCAGCAGATATGTATGTATGCACTCATTAACTCACTCCCCTACAGATTATAGGACAAACGTTTGAGGCCAAGACAAAGTTAAAATCTGGATATGGAGAAATTTTCCTGGTTTACCTGGGCTGTCTAGAAATGCTGTAACATAAACCATCCCATTCAGGAAACAAAGGGAGAAAACAGAGATTGAAGAAGAAAACATGCTGCATTTTTATTATTATCTTGAAAATGAATATAGGAGAGACAAGTCAATAAAGGCAGATGCACTTGACACTGAAAGCTGAGAGATGCTGATGCTCACTGAAAGAGGCAGAGAGTAGGTTTTCTCAGCCTTGTGGGTGATGCTCCCTGCTAACAGCTCATTGAGGGTTCCATTGCTGGAAAGACAAGTTCATATTATTTTAGATGATCTCATTGTGGCACAGGAGCCATAAGAAATTAATGTAATTGGCTACCCAAACTTTCTAACTCTTCAGATAACATGAGACAGATTAAGGTCACAAACAAGGTGAGGAACAGGTGTCACTCAACTCATGAGGAGTCCACAGCCATGGACTGGTGCTCACTTGAGGAAATAGTAATAAAATTACATTAATTTTGTATTTTTTGTTGCCTTTAGCTTCAAAAGTCAGCATTTTACACTCTCTCAACATTTGTTCACCTTTCATAGGACTCTAAACACTACTCAAGTGTGAGAAAATGTAGGTGCAGAGACATTGAAAGTCTGTAACTATTTCGTGTGACACACTCTGTGTCCATTGGGTTCTTATTCAAAGCCAGAGTGATGTATTTCCCCCTCGTTGCTTATCCAAAGAGTTAGTGAGCTACTCTGACCAGGCCACAGTTTTAGCTAAAATTTCTGTTTCCTTGAAGGCCTCCCCCAACAATTAATCAGTAAATTGTATCAATTTACAAGAAGTTTAATATGGCCTCTTTTTCTACACACAACTATTTTATGATTTGAAAATTTCATGCATATATTCAGTATATCTTGATCATATGCATCCTGTATCCACCCCCAATTCCTCACTCCAATTCCCCTTTCCCTTCCCTAGACATATTGCCCTCTCTCGTGGATGTGGATCATCCACTGGGGCTTGGATAATCCACCAGTAGCAAAATCCCACAAGAAAAGTAATTCTAGCCTGCATGGGTCTGCACTACGCCCTATGCATATATGTTATGGTTCTTAGCTTGATATTTCTGTGGAGCTCCTAATAGTAGGAATGGGGGTATCTCCTGCCCTTTCATCTCCTCTTGGAACCTTTTTTCTCTTACTGGGTTGCTTCGCCCAGCCTCAATTTAATGATTTGTGTCTAGACTTATTATATCTTATTAGCCATGTTCAACTGATATCCCTGGAAGGCCCAATCTTTTCTAAAGGAAACAGAGTAGGAGTGAATCTGAGAGAAAGGGACAGTGGAGAGGGGGAGTACTACAAGGAGTAGACAGAGGGGAAACTGAGGTCTGGATGTATTGAAAACAAAAAAGAAAGGGAAGGAAGGAAGGAAGGAAAGAAGGAAAGATGGAAGGAAGGAAGGAAGGAAGGAAGGAAGGAAGGAAGGAAGGAAGGAATTCTTTCTCCCTCCAGCAGTCATTAGCTGTCAATAGTTCCTCACCTTGGAGTGGAAACCACAGAAGCCCCATCCCTAATCCATGTTTGAATTTTAACTAGCTTGATTTTATGTACATCCCGTGCAGGCAACCACACCTGCTGTGATGAGTTCATGTGTGCAAGAGCCATTTTGTGTACAGAGGACATGTCTTCACAACATCCTTCTCCATCCTCTGGCTCTTATGTTCTTTCTACTCTTTCTTCTACAATGTTTTCCAAGCCCTGGAGATAGGAGCGTGGGTGTCCCACCCACAGCTGGATTTTTCTACTTGTGCCTCCATGTTGGTGCTCAAAATACTTCAAATTCAGTATTTTCAGGTTGAGAGTCTCTTTGTGAATTAATTGATTCCTTATTTTTCTTCTTTCCTTGCAATATCATTTCTATCAAGCTTTCTAAACTCACTAGAAGCTACAAATCTCTTCACCTCCCCAAAAATCTCATACAGACTATTCAAGTGCATGAGTCACATGAAAAACAGAGACTCAGGTCCCATTTCAAGGTCACATTCCTTTTTGAAACAAACACAACAGTCAATATGTCCCTTGACAGTAAATAAATTTCAGTCATGCTAGTGATAGTGATTGCCATGATGTAATATTCCAGTGTTTACTAAAATGTCCTAATCTGGGCACCCATCAGCTTTGAGTTACATGACAACTAATGAGAACTTTCTAGTAGTCTACATGTTTCTCTACAAGCTCACAGCCATCCATAGAGATCTTGAATCTTTCATCACAAAACTGAAGGTCAAATCCAGACAGCTTACTGATTTATTGTTTAAGGAGCTACTGAGAAAGACAAATATTTCATCTAGATCTACAGAGCATGCACAACATACCTTGGTGGTTTCAGAGACCCAAGTAAATTTTCAGCTCATATATATATATATATGTGTGTGTGTGTGTGTGTGTGTGTGTATGTGTATGTGTGTATATATATATATGTATATATATATATATAAAATTTTTCATATTTTACATATCGATCCCAGTTCCCTCTCCCTCCCTCCCAAGTTTATCGTGGTATTTACAGTGTTTTTTTTTTTTTTTTTTCTTTTAAAGTAATGCCTTGGTCTGAAGGTATGGCTCAGTCAGTAAAGTGCTTGCTTTCAGAGTATGAGCATCTGAGTTCAAGCCTCAGAAGCTGTGTTTGTAATCCCAACACTTGGAGGAGGCAGGGTTCCTGGAGCCTTCTTACTAGCCAGCCTAGCCTTATCAGTGAGTGGATGGCTCTTAAGGAACACACACCTGAAGTTGACCTACACACACACACACACACACACACACACACACACACACACACACACAGGCACACACAATGGGGAACAAATGGAAACACAGGTGCACCCTACCCATAAACAAGCACATGTGTTTTGTATTTAGTGTCCTTAAAATTCACCTCACATGCCGTGCCTGCACATCTGGGGACCGAGAATCTGAGCAGGGTATCAGGATTAACAACACGGAACTCTTGCTTGATGTTAAGAAGGCTCTTTTCCCTCTATTTTACTCCAGGGGCTGGCTTTTATACCCTGGCACCAGATGAAAGAGGAGGAAGCGAAGAGGGGCAGTTAGTCATTGTAGGTTCCAAGGACCAGTTAGGGCATTTACAGGGGCCCGATCCAAGGTTTCGGAAAACAAAGGAACATCTTTGCCTTAGAAAACATGTTTTTGTTTTCCTGCAGTTACAGCTGCCTGCTCTGAGGGCAGCAGGGGGGGGGGGAGGAGTAAATTCTTAGCCAAGTTCTTAATTCCTACAATCACATATATATTGAGACACCAGTTACAAAGAACATATCGTAAAATATGATTGTGGATAAAAACTACTTTGTTGGTTATTACTCTCTACCAGTTTTATTCTATACTGTTACTGGAAAGACATTTGAAGCTCCAGACCAACTGAAAAAAAATCTCTGGGAGTTGAGATTTTGCTTGTTGGTTTGGTTGGTTATGGTTGGTTGGTTGGTTGGTTGGTTGGTTGGTTGGTTGGTTGGTTTAGGGGTGTTTGGTTGGTGGTGGTGGTGGTGTGAGGGTATGAGTGTGTGTGTGTGTGTGTGTGTGTGTGTGTGTGTGTATGTATGTATGTATGTATGTATACCAGTGTATGGCTATAGATGAGAACCAGACCACAACATCCTGATCTGCTCTTTGCTAAGCCTTTTTTCTTTAATGCTCCCTTCTTCTTTCATCATCACTTAGTACCTCCTCTACAATTCTTAGCACAGTCCTGTAACTGCCCCATTAATATGGAAAATCCTGCTACAGAGAGGGAGGAAGGACTGTAGGAACCAAAAGGATCAAAGACAGCATGAGAAAACTCACAGAAACAACTAACCTGGCTCATAGGAGCTCAGAGAATCTGTAAGGGAGCTATCTAAGCCCTTTAAATTATGTGACTGTTGACTACCTTGGTTTACTTGTGGGACTCCTAACAATGTAAACAGGAGTTATCCCTAATGTTTTGGCTAACTTTGGGGAACCTATCCTCATAGTGGATTACCTTTCCCAGCTTTAGTAAAAGGGGAGGTACTTAGTCTTACTAAAACTCGATCTGCCATGCTTTGCTGACACCCATGGGAAGCCTGCTCCTTTCTGAACAGAAACAGAAGAGGAGCAGATTGAGTGGGAATGAGGGGGTATGGGTGGAGGACTGTGGCCAGGATGTAAAAAATTAATTAAATTAAAAATATTGCCAATTCAAACATTTCTGTATTTCTAAAAGTTAAAACTGTTACATACATAAATGTTCAGTGGACAGGCAATTCCCATGAATTCAATGTGCATGGTTTAAAATAAGCAGTAGAAATTTTACATTTAATTTTGAAAGATTATGATCTAAAATACTCATGTTTACAAATCTCATAGACAGTGACACCTACCCCTGTTTTTAGAAGTCAAACTGACTACTAGATGCTCATGCTCATGAGTTGGCGACACAATGAAATCCTGTGGAGCTGAACTATGAACATCCATAACCATGTGCTATAGAAATAAGAGTTCTAATTGCATACTTCTAAAAGAAAACAAAGAAGTTATTTACCTTAGAAAAGAAAATACATTATTTATGTGCTACTCATTCATTATCACCTTGGTAAACATCAATTGTTTAGGGGAAGTTAATATTTGTCATCTTATCAGATTCACTGGTGAGTAAAGGCCAACTCAACTTACTATAATGACTTGGAACTGTACATGGACAGGAACTGTATATTCATTTACCAATTTTCTTCTATCTGAAAATTTTATTCCCAGGACCATATAGAAGAGGGCAGGGCTAGTATTTACCGCTCAGTCTTCACCAACTCTTCCAAAGAAATGATGTGTTTTCCAGACTTCCCCTTTCCTGATGATTTTCCCAACTTTATGCATAACAGCAAGCTCCAAGAATACATCACTTCATTTGCCAAAGAAAAAAACCTTGTAAAATACATACGATTTGAGGTAAGATGCTGTCAGCAAAGCAGTGTCAGTCATAGCAATGAGAACTCCATGGCTGTTGCTCAATTCCCAAACCCCACCCCCAACCCAGGATCTCTTTCTTTTCTTTTTTAATGAGCCCAAAATTTTATTTATTCATTTCTTGCACTTGAAGTACTCTTCGATAATATCCTTGGCCTGAGATTCTTTGCCATAGTCCTTAACCACTACACAACTGCAGCCAATCACTTTCTGTGGCTTCCCCTCTCGATCTCTTTTACAGAGGCCTACCCAGTCCCCTAGTATCTTGTCATCAACCTTAATTAGGTTGATCTGGTGTTCATCACAAACTTGACATACATGGGCTAATCACAATTGGATCAAGCACACAGAGATGGGCTTGGCGCTGGTCTAAGGCTTTGGCAGCTTCGCATATGGCACGTGCTAGCCCATCGTGGATGAGAGCGGTCTTCAGTACCTCTTGAAGTGCAGTATTGATGTCCATTACACCTCCAGCAGCCATGCCTTCCTCAGCCATGGCAATGGTTTACGGGTGAGGCCGAGTCCTGTACACACCGGAGCCTCTGCCTCCGCTCAACCCGGCAGCGGCAAGGGGAAAAGCCAGGATCTCTTTCTTTAACCAATATTTTTAACAGTTTGGTTTCCCTAATTGTAGATTTGTGAGCACTATTTTCCTCATGAATCTGTCAGAAATATGCAAAACATTATTATATACACTTCTTACATCAAAATGGCAACAACTGAAAATCAGTGACAAAAAAATAAATAAATGCAAGATATCAATAGGTTTTAAACTCCCTTTTCAAATAAGCCATGTGACAAAAAGAAATAAATGGAAAAACAAAAACAATTTAGAACTGGGTATTAGTTAGACCTTTTGTGCAAGGCATATAATGCCATACTTTGTATGCAATAAACAATTAATTTTTTTTTTTAGAAACAAGGCAAAGAAGAACACACACACAATATTGACACATACATATACAATCTAATGTTTCCACTTCTTCTAAGGGACTTTTGAATTCCTTAGGATGTACCTTACTAATTAAATGATTTTATTAAGACCAATATACTATTAGCATATTAAAGAAGGCTTTCTCTCTGCATTCCTTAGACATTTGTAACCAGTATAAATAAATGTCCCGATTTCTCAGTTACTGGCAAATGGGAAGTTACCACTGAAAAGAATGGTAAAAAAGAAACAGCTGTCTTTGATGCTGTAATGATTTGTTCTGGGCATCATGTATATCCCCATCTACCCAAAGACTCCTTTCCAGGTAAGGCTGAAGTGGAGGAAGTTGTCTACATATCTGTCAAGAAAAAAACATATTAGTGATGTCTATTTTAGTGTGCTTTCTAACATAAGTAATGGGACATTGCACAAGAAAGAGATTTGGCTCATAACTACAGGCACTGGCAAGTGTAAGCAGCATGGTGCTAGCAACAAGCCCCACCCCCTGCAGCTAAGGATTAGGAAGTGAGAAGTGCAGCTAGGGAGATTAAACGGCCAGGCTTGCTCTTGTTAGAACAAAAAGTTACTACTGTCATGTAGCTAAACTTGTTCCACCATCCTTTCCAAGGGTGAAGTCCTCAATGACCAGCTTACTTCCCAGTTGTCACTACTACACTGGGGACCAAGCTGGCAGCACATGTTTGGGGATACACTTAAGTCATCCCCAAACTGCAGCAATGTTCTTTTTAACTAAACTACAAACAGGACTATTAAAATGTATTTCTGTTGCATGTAATATATTAGGATTATTAAATTTTCTTACTATGTGACCACTAAAGTTGTTTTATTTTAATAGGAATCAAATTGGTTCATACGTTTCTCCCTTTTCACTCAGGACTGGACCGTTTTAAAGGCAAATGCTTCCACAGCAGGGACTATAAAGAGCCAGAGATGTGGAAGGGAAAACGAATCCTGGTGATTGGCTTGGGGAACTCAGGCTGTGACATTGCTGCAGAACTCAGCCACATAGCTCAACAGGTACCATATCCCACGCACACCACAGACAATCTTTGTCATTATCCTTGGAAAACTGCCATGGAATGGGATGGCATGAGAAAACCAAGTGATATTTCATATACCTCAGCTTCCTAGGAAACATGTGGGATTTGAAACAGCTATATAAGTGTCACTAGTGATGTTTCCCACCCAAGAAGCTTCTTGAGACATTTGGTACCTCCTGTGGATTTGATCAATCCCTCTATAATTAGAGTCGACTCAAAGCTATGACTGAAACTTTTAGATAAGTTGTTCAATACTTCTGGATTTCTGGTCTCCTCATCAATAAAACATATAAAAACTGAACCAGTGTAGAAATGAGATTGTTACAGAGTTAAAACCTGATTCAGTTAATGTTGACAGAGAGCTGCATATTCACTCATCCATGCATGCATTCATTCTGTAGTTATTTCTTGTTCCAGGCACTGGCATAAGTATTGGAAAAAGAATGTCGAATAAAACAAACATAACCGTCACTCTTGAACTCCACTATAATAATTAAGTAAATGTGTACATTATCATTGTGGAAAATGCTAGCAAAGAAAGCAAAGCACATTGTTTGATGAATAAGGGTGACCTACTTCACACATGGAGGGAAAGACCCCTGGAGATGACAACATGCAAGCAGAGAACCAGAAGTTGAGAAAGGCATTGCATCAGAAAATGTCTCCAGGCAGAAGGCCTTGAAATAAGAAACTTGGTATCTCAAAAACTGATGAAAGGCCTCTTGGCTGCATCTCAGTGGGTTTGGAAAAGAAGGATGCAAATGAAAATTGAAAGAAAGATAGACAGAGAATGATGAAGAGCCTTTTAAAATGTGACTTTTAACAGATGTCATCTTCTCACTTGGTAGTTTTTTTCCAGAAGCTCAAAGGCAGGAATCTTATTTCCTGATGTTTTGCCTGATGTCATATACCCCCAATATAGGTCTCTGATAGGGCCCCTGCACATCCCCAGCATATTTCTAGTTTTACTTCATGATAGTACAGTCAAGATATATGAAGATCATGTCAGGACAAATGGCATTAAAAAAAATCTATTCCTATTCCTATGCCTCTGTACCACACACTGGGGGCATGGAAAGACACTGGGGACATGGAAAGAAATTAACCACTTGACCTTCCTTCTCAAAAGTTCATAAAAATCTAGCCCCCACCCCACACACAGTCTTAATAGCTAATCAGAATGCATGACAACAGTATAAGAGTTAGGGCTGGAATGAAGGGTAAAAAGATGATTCTGTCACTAAATGTCTAAAAGACTGTAGAATCTGAGGCACCACAGAGGAGATGGTACTGAACTGTATTAGAAACTAACAGAAGAGGAAGGACAGGGCACTTCCTAATCACATGATATATGAAGTACTATGAGCCATATGGCACAGGTTGTTGTGCTGAATTGACCCTCATGCAACTCTGAAGTGTTAGATGCTATTTCTTTCTGGTTTAGAAGAAGTGAAACAAGACTAATGAAGCTAAAGTAGTCTTCCCTGTGTCACACCATTTAGAGGTCGAAGGGCCACGATTTATGCCTGTGGTGTCCTGATCACAAATTGCTTGCCTTATTTTATGCCAGTGTCTATTTTGGGGACAAGGGTTGCTTCTTTGTAGATGTCAGTAGTTGTTTAAGCACTGAGAGAAATATGACTGGAATTCACATTGATGGTCTCCTGTGCCAAGGAAGACATGATTGAAATAAGTTGGTTCCTGTCAGCAGTGACAGGATAGCAGAATTTTAGAAGTAGAAAAGAGCTGAGGAAGCTTGACCGAAAGTGCTCTTGGAGTCAGTGTCTCCCAGGAAGGACAGCTAGCTTCATTTCGCCTTATGCTCAAGCTTTGATGGGTCTGTGAACCAAACTGAAATAAGGGTCGGAGCCAACATGGGCCAATCAGTGAATTCTGAAAACCCAGAGAGGAAATAAGACCTGAGTGAAACCCATTTCTTTAGTCAACACAACTCTTTAGGAGGACTGACAGCTGAGGGATTCCTACTTCCTCCTGGCAAAAGAAAACAACAACAAAACAAGCAAACAAAAACCCAAGAAAAAGAGTGACATGCCCATCTCTATAGGGAGATGTAGAAGGAATCTTACAATATGTACTACACTTATGACATTTAGCATTTGTGTTTTGAAGGTCGTCATCAGCTCCAGAAGTGGATCTTGGGTGATGAGCCGGGTCTGGAATGATGGCTACCCCTGGGACATGATGGTGATCACTCGATTTCAAACTTTCCTCAAGAACAACTTACCCACAGCCATCTCTGATTGGTGGTACATGAGGCAGATGAATGCAAGATTCAAGCACGAAAACTATGGCTTGATCCCTTTAAATGGGTAATGTGGACTAAAGCATGATGTGCCAGCCAACATTTATTTCAGTGTCAACAGCCCTTGATGTGTGTTGTAACCTCAAAACAATCAAAAAGTATTCATGAAGTAATCATATCTCAGGTATCAAAGGATAAAGGACTGCAAATATTGGGTACTATTTCCACACATCCTTCTTACCAGATTTGTACTTCTAGAAAGTTAGGTAATGCCGAAGCAATTAGTTCCCATAGTAACAGGAATAAAAATGTTTTAAGCACTTCGTGTATTACCAGAGTCTCACCTATTCTCTTTGGGGCTCTGGCATATATTAAGACACGTACCCTCACAACTATGAAGAGGGCTCTGTTTGTTCTGCTTCTCAGAGAACAAAACTGAAATACAATAGAATTAATGTTATCAAACTCCCATATCCAGGAAGTAGAAGCAACCTTCAGTATAAACCCACACTTATTGATTCCAGGGCCTTTATTCTTTATCCACTTACTCTGTGACCTCACACTTAATGACAAAGTGGAGGCTAACAAAATAACTTTCCTCTGTTATACTCTTTTCTCAACCCCTTCAAAGAATGATGTCACTGAACCAGTTCTACATGAGTCTAGCATTCCCATTTCCTCCTTAATTTTTTTCTACAACTCCCTCAAGCCCACTACATAAGAAATAACTTCAATTTTCAATACAAATCTCAAACGTCTTACAAATTCATTAATTCAACAAATAGAAATGAAGTTTTTACTGTGTTGGGTCTCAAGTTAAGTGTTTGTGGATACATCAGGATACATTAGGCAGATTCCTGTCCTAATAGCATACGCCTTTAGTAGCCATAAACATGCTTGGTAGAAAGCTGTATGACTAAGTGTTTTATGGAGAATACAGTGTGTGGGGGGGGGGTGGAAAATGCCTTAAAGATAGTTTTCAATGGGGCTCTTGAATTAGATTCAAACTCTAAGTTAAATTTTATGACTTTTCTTGAAGGGTGAATGTAGATGCAGAAGGCATGAAGACTGAGGGCTGAGTTCTGCAACCAGGTGGGGAAGAAACAGCAACAAGGAACTCTGAGAGACAGTAGTCATGTTAGGAAAGGAAATAAGGAAATATGATGATCTTTGAAGACTGTTTCAGGAGGGATGACACAATCAACTAAGTCAAGAGTTACTAATAAGTTCAGGAAAATAATTGAGCATGGGCCACTAGGTCCATCAGATTTATTCTGACAGCCTTGGCAAATGTTGTCTCAATGAGGCTGAGGTGCTTAGTGGCTGATGGCAATGAGTTTAATGCAAGTGGCAGATAAGAAGTGCAGTTGAGTCTAGCACTTTCCTAGCCAGTTTCTTCTCCTGTCTTGGCCATACATAACAAAGCCTTTCCGTTCCGTGCCATTCAAGTTCATTGTCAACTTCAGAATAATATGTATGCACAGAGATTTTACTCATCAAAACTAAGGGTCTCTTTTTTAGCTCCCCAGGGACCAGTGCTTCAAACTGCCCTTCCTTCTCTTTACCTTATCTAAGTTCCCAGGAGCACCTCCTTTGACCTGAGCATTTCACCACATTATGAAAACCCAGGTGTAGCCTTCTCATGTTTTCCTTTTACCCTAAGTCTCTCTTACCGTGGCCAGTTTGAAAAATGGAAATAGAAGTTAAGACTGTTAGTGCTTCATCTGTGCTACGGACTACAGAATTCCTCGTGTTACACAGATCTCTCTGTGACATCTGATTGATGCCGTTGTCATTCCAGAAGAGAAGAGTGAGCCATGGGGAATTTAAGAGGACTGAACCTTCTTAATGTCACGGAAAATAGGAAGCCGTGGAAGGCTTCAGATACCAGGGACCTTACTTTAGAACTTTTCTTCACCTAGGCTTTGCTAGTACTCCTCTCACCTCCTACATGGCCTCATACCACTTTTATTCTCCTCGTGCATTAGTGACATTCTACAGCTTAGGGAAAACTCTTTGATGGTTTTCTCCCTTCCTCACAGAGACTAGCAGGACATGTTATTTTTCCAATGACCAGTCTCTTCCATCCATACAGAACCCTCAGGAAAGAGCCCGTGTTCAATGACGAGCTCCCAGCCCGCATCCTGTGTGGTACTGTGTCCATCAAGCCTAATGTGAAGGAGTTCACAGAGACATCTGCTGTATTTGAAGATGGGACTGTGTTTGAGGCCATTGACTGTGTCATCTTCGCAACAGGCTACAGTTATGCCTACCCCTTCCTGGATGACTCCATCATCAAAAGCAGAAATAATGAAGTCACCTTGTACAAAGGCATCTTCCCTCCTCAACTGGAGAAACCAACCATGGCAGTGATTGGCCTTGTCCAGTCCCTAGGTGCTGCCATCCCCACAACTGACCTTCAGGCACGCTGGGCTGCACAAGTAATAAAGGGTAAGTTGGCCAAAAATCCTTCAATGGATGCTAATGAGAGTATATTATAAAATCCAAGCAATAAGCATAATTAAAAGAATCTGTAACTCTATTTCCACTGATGGTGTACTCTATAAACAATTTGAAATACATGTTGCTAGGTTATCATATGCAATAGTATGATGTTATTAGGAGATTTTTGTTACTTATGATTCTTGGCAGCTGACAATTACTTGAGATCATTCAGTAGACAAGAACTCCAAGAGTTCTTGGTCCTAATGTTATTAAATTGGATTACTTGACAGGGTTATAGGGAAAGTTAGTTCCAGGCTAATCTCCAGCCAGCCTCAGATATCTACAGCCAGGGAGAGCACACACACTGGAAAGGCAGCAGGTCTTCTGACTGTTTTCCTCTCTGCAGTGTGTTAATTAAGGACAAGCAGTGGTTGATTAGAGGCAGGAAGTACAAGATGTGAGGGAGGTTTAATCTCTAAGATACAAAAGTACATATTACTCATATTTTCAAAAGGAAAAGGAAACAATAGACTTGATTAGGGTAAGGCAAGGAAGGCAGCCAGCATCCTCTGGTAGCAGAGCTGAGATCAGAGTCACAGTAATGTGAAGGGGTATAGCTGTGGGTAGCCACAGATCATAAGAATAAGTAGAGCTATTATTAAAACAAAATAGATGTCTAAATATATTGAGCAAAGCGTAGTTGAACCTTAAGTTATAAAACTTCTCCATGACTAAGTTTAGCAAAGTGGGCCACAGCTACTTCTTCTAGTACTGCCTTGACTTGTCAAAGCTTAGAGAGGGTCTACATGCCACTGTACACCCTGTGCCACCAGGCTGCCACCCATATCAGTGTGTTCCTACTCGGCAGTGACCTCTCTGAATCTCCTTCACCTCTACCTTCTCAGGAAGAGACTGGAGGTGACCTCAGGGGACACAGTGGCTCCAGCAAAGTAGCAGCAGCCACTCAGCCCTCAGATTCCACCTCAAGAGGACTGAACTTACAGGAAGGCCACTAGCTCTCTGTGAGGACAAGAGTTGTAACTTTGGCTCTTTGGAAAGAAAATAAGGGGAAAAGTAAAACAAAAGGGAGAATTGGGGAGATGGCTCAGGTGACATGGGTGCTTGATGCCAGGATTGAAAAACCTGGGCTCCATTCTGGGACCCACATGGTAGATGGATAAAGCTGACATCCACAAGTTGTCCTCTGACTACCACCACACACCCATACACCCACACCCACACCCACACACACACCAGGGTACAGGGGCATGTATACATACACAGACAGAAAATAAATAAATAAATTGCAACAATAATCTTGAAAGAGGAAAGCAAAATGGACAATTGACAGGAAATTGATGAAAAAGGCAAATGTAGTGAGGTAGTCCTTCTGTAGCACTGACCACGCCCATTGGGGGTGGAGCGATGGGCGGAGGTGACCTGAGGAAGGAGGTCCGAGTCACGCCAGGAAGGGGTTTTGCCCCCAGGCGGCAGGCAAATGCTTAGATTTACAAGAAATGGGCTATTGAGCAAACAACTTAGTTTGGGAGAATTAGAGCAACAGATAAGGGCTGGGGATTGAGTTCAGGGATGAGCACAAAGCCCTAGTTTGGTTCCCAGCATCTAGAAAAGAAAAATCAGAACCGCAGGGCAGAGAGGCCAACTACAAACAACCTGATGGTGGAAGTGAGCAGACTTCTGAACACATGTCCAACCTCCCTGTCTCTGCACCTGTACCTGGACAAGACAGAGTCCAAGAACTATAATGAGGCCATATTGACAAAAACTTTCTGATGGCACTGTAAGGATTGCAAAAATGGAAAGTTAACAAATCACTGCAAAGGGTGAGCAATCATTTTTTGAGATAATTTCTAATCTCATTTAAAAGTGATTCCAAAATTGCCAAAGAAATTATCCTAAAATGTATTGGTCTATGTGTCAGAGACACATAATTACTTATATGAGCCTAAAATCCTGAGGTGGCTTCAGATTGCATCTTGTCACCTGGCACTCCCCATATCCTGGGTGAACATGGCTAGTCCATACCTCAACCATATTTAACAACTCTTGTTTCTACACCAAAAGGTCAGGATGTTATTAAGTTCTCTACTTGATCTGCTGAAATCTCCTTCTCTAGCAAAGAAAGGCTGAATTCCCTAGGGAGAATTTTTTTTCTTTGAGTCTTGGGGGGAAAAAAATCAGACCAGAGAGACGGCTCTACCTGTAAGTACTTATCGTGAAAGCATGGCAACCTGAGTTCAGAACCCCAACACCTATGTAAAAATTTCAGGTATGCATGCCTATAACCCTGTACTGGGGACAGTGGACAGATACAGGAGGGGTCCTGTGACTTGTTAGCCAGCTTGTGTAGCCAATTGGTGAGATCCATGTCCAAAGGCAGACCATATCTCAAAAAGTAAGGTAGAGAGCTGAAAAGAAGGGCACTTGAGGTTGGCCTTACTGATCATGCTGTCTTTGTCTTTCTCTATCTCTGTATGTCTCTCTTCTCTCTGTGTCTCTGGCTCTATCTCTATATCTTACACACAACACACACATACACACATGTGCAAAAAGGCACACACACATACTCCATACACACACACAAAGCCCTGAGAAATAATTGCAATTTACCTGCACTAGACTATAATTTGTAGGAAATATCTTTTAAAATATGAAAGTTTAGAATATAACCTTCAATAAATAATAAACAACTGGTATCTTTAAGAACCAAGATACAATGATACTTATATAATAGATTTTTGTTATTGTGACAAGTGTTCAAAAAAGAGTAGGAATCATTAATCAGTCTGAAAACAATTGCCAATTAATTATTCATTTGCTCAAGATTTTGTTTTGCTAGACAGTAAAAAGTCAAAATAAAAGCAGAGTCAGGAAAATGCCTCAGTGGTAAAAGTGCTTCCATCAAAAGCCTGATGAGTTGGATTTGATTCCTAGAACTTAGAAGAGGAAGTGGCTCCTGCAAATTGTTCTGTTATCTCCACACCTGTGCCATGGCATGAATACATAGGCAAATACACACAAATAATTAACACTTTTAAAACGGAAAATGTGTGCTTCATAATTCACTCAAAGTGAAAAGCACTGGGGTACTCCTGTGCAGGATTCATCTACCGACATTTTGCCCTTCCTTCTTTTTCAGGAACTTGCATTTTGCCTTCTGTAAAAGACATGATGGATGATATTGATGAGAAAATGGGGAAAAAACTCAAATGGTAAGAGTTTTATGTTGTAGATTACATTGTAGATCTATTATAATATAGATCTAGGATTTGCATAGAAAATATCAGGATTTTTCTGTGTTTGAAATTGATTTTGTCTTGAATGATTCTCTATGAAGTTAGCAGGGTAAAAACTATGAACCATGTTCTTCCATCCAAGAATCATTCCTGGAGAACTTCTCATCTGCCATTGCATTTGGGTCCTACTAAGGGCAAGGTACAGAATGACAGTAAGACTAAGGATACTCAATGTGTTGTTCCCTTTATCCCTGTCTTCTGAGTGCATCCTAGAAAGTACACATACATGCAGAAGTGATGAACTCAAAGTAACTGGTGAAACATGTCAAAGCAGGACTCTGTTCTTTAGCCCAGAAATCTTCCACAAGGTAGATGATACTTCAAGTAGATGTTTTAAATGAAAATGACTCAACAACATGAGAATTAACCTAAAAAACTGGGCTCCATCCCTGGTCTGTCACTAATTAGCTCAGGGGCTGTGAATGAATAACTTCACTTGAGCAAGAGACAATGACCCATTTGCTGAAAGGGACACAAATGTTCCAATGCTCTGTAGTGTTAGGGGATTTATTTCCAAACGAAATATAAAATATTTCCCTATATAACACAAAAGAATAAGGACTGTCCCTGATAGGAAGATGTAAGTTGATTTCTTCTTCTTGCTTCTGCAAAGCCTGGGTATCACATGAGTCTCTCCTTTCTATCTTTAGGTTTGGCAACAGTGAGACTATCCAGACAGATTATGTTGTTTACATGGATGAACTGGCCTCCTTTATTGGAGCAAAGCCCAATATCCTACATCTGTTTCTCAAGGATCCCAGATTGGCCTTGGAAGTGTTCTTTGGCCCCTGCAGCCCCTACCAGTTCCGCTTGGAAGGCCCAGGGAAATGGTCAGGAGCCAGGAATGCCATCCTAACCCAATGGGACCGGTCACTGAAGCCTCTGAAGACACGCGTCGTTGGCATTCAGAAGTCTTGCTTATACTTCCGTTTGCTCAAGCTCCTTAGTCTTCCTATTCTGCTCATTGCTCTCTTTCTTTGTGTTGATCTGATCGCGATTCCCTCTATAATTTCTGGTAGTCACTGACAATAACCATGCAGAAACTTTGCTATTGAAAAACTAAGATTTCATGCCTCTCCCTTTCCTGTTCAAGATCAATTGGTAGGATAGGGAGGCATATTAATTAGTAAGAAGGACAGTGTTTGCTCTGGCCTTATAAACAAGTCCAGTTCAGAATCATGTCTTCAGGGGCATAAGTCTATTCTCTTTAAGTTCCACTACACTTCATAATGAGAACTGTCTTTGTTAAACTTGAATCATTTTCTGAAACAGTTGGAAGCGGTTCCTTTTCCCTTTTAAAGAAAGCTTGAAAGATGTACTTCAAATACAAACAGTGAATAAAATCCATCATGCAGAATATGATCTTCTCAGGATGACTCTCTAATTATTTGTGAGGCTGGGGGAGAACTCAGCTATTACATTCCAGTTTTATTTTATTCCTAATGTTCCAGACAATATCTCTTGCTCCCTAGCTAAAAACACAGTATAGAAATCTGACCCACATTAGAGGTTAGCTCAAATTAGCTCATTTCACTAATAGGGAAATTAGTAAAACAAGGAAAAAAACTCTCCAATATAGAACAAATAAATAATCACAACAATAAGCAATATATGCCTTTGAGTTGCGACAAAAGGTGTTTTTAAACACGGGATTTCTTAGTGCTGTGACTTGAATATGGTAAGTATTCCCTTGGGGGCCCCCAAGGTGTAGTGCTGAGAGGTGATGGAAACTTCCAGAGGTGGAGTCCAGCAGGAGATCCTTGAGTCATTCCGGGGAGCAGGCCCTTGATGTCTTTATAAGCCATTGATTTCTTCTCTCTGATCTTGGCTTGGTATGCAGTTACATTAGCTAGTCCTCTCGTGTGCTCCCACTGTTCTGTTTACCACAGTGTGACACAAACAGGCACTCAGCCTACACCAGTGTCTCAACTGTGACCTGCCTCAGTCCTTTCATCACAGCAACAAAAATCTGAGACAACTTTTATTTGGGAATAATGAAGCGAAGATCAGGAAATGACTGTCATTCGAAGGGCATCTCATACACACAGATTCCCAAGGGAAAGCCTTCAAAACTCAGAAAGATGAGGAATTCAACAGAATGCTCCAAAAATCACTGACAAATAACAGAAGAAATAAAAATGTATCTTGAAAGAAACAAAACAAAAAATATGCAAATACAGCAATAACAGTCTTATGATAAATCTATGATCAGAGGAAAGATATGATTAAAAAATTTAAAGCTAAGAATGGTGACTCGTGCCTATAAATCTAGCCGGGGCGGGGTGGGGGGGCGAGGGGGACTGAGTCAGGAGAATTGCACATTTGACCCTGACTCAGAAACAACAAGAATCAATGTCACACCTAATGGAGCTAGGAAAAAGATTAAACTTAAGATGGTCAGAGCAGAAATGAGTGAGACTCAACCAGAAAAATCAACAAAGACTTGGGTTTTTGTTTTGTTTTTAAGATAAATTAGGTTAGGTCTAGCTATTCAGCTAGACAAACCAGGATGAAAGAGATAGTAAGGAAATAATATATTAAAATAAGATCAGAACCAAAAGAAAATATTAAAGGTAATGGCATGTGTTGAAGAGATTGCTACAAATAATTACATATCAGCACATGGGATAATCTGGAAGAAATGGATAAATACCACAGAAACATACTTCCTTCCATGACTAAATTGTGAAGAAATTGACAAAAAAGACAAAACAAAACAAAACAAAACAACAACCAAAACCCACAAATAACAAGTATGGAACTTAAGCCAGTGATGAAAGAAAGTCCAGGACCAAATGGCCTGCCTCACTGCTGAATTCATTTGAGATATCAATGCCAATTTTTCTCTGACTGTTTTAGAAACATCAAAAGAAATGTTTCCAAACTCACTCATTTTACAGGGATAGAGGTACACTAGTAATAAAGCCAAACAAGCCGTTGCCAAAAAAAAAAAAAAAAAAAAAAAAAAAAAAAAGGCCAATATCATTGATCAACACAGATGCAAAATTCTTCAACAAAATATTAAGTATTAGCAAAGTGAATTCAAGAACACATTAGGCATCTAGGGATAGTGGTGCATTCCTGCATACCTTTCATCTCAACACTTTGGAGGTGGGAACTAGATTACTGTGACTTCAAGGCCACCCTAGATTACATTAGCAAGACCCTGGTTTTGTTCTTGTCGTTGTTGTTTAAAGAATAGAATCATGGTGCAAAAGACATGTCTCAGCAGTTAAAAGCAATAACTGCTCTTGCAGAGGACCTGGGTTCAATTTCCAGAAACTACATGGTAGCTCACAACAGCCTGTCACTCCAGTTCCAAGGAATCTAATGCCTTCTTCTGGCCTCCACATATATGTGGTACATATACATACACACAGGCAAAACACTCATGATAGATAGATAGATAGATAGATAGATAGATAGATAGATAGATAGATGGTAAATATATAGGTGTTTTGAAAAGAGTAGAATTTATGGACCAGTGAGATGGCTCAATGGGTAATGATGCTTGCCACCAAGGCTTTTGGCCAGAGTTTGTGCCTTATAATGTGCCCTATAATATAACTCCTCCAAGCCATCCCCTGACCTATGCATGCGTTCCACAGCACAGGTGTACATGTATACACACAAAACAGATGCAAAACTAAAAACTTTAACTAAAAATATGTTTTACCCCTATGATGTAGGGAATGTTCAACATATGTAAATCAGAAACTAAGATACATCACATTGATGGATGGGAGTACAAAAATCATGCAGTCATGTCAGATATAAAAATACATTTAACAAGTTCAACTTTTTTCTCAATAAAACCTCAGTATGTTAGGTAGGGGAGGAAACACCTCAACACAACAAAGACCACAGATGACAAGCCACAACTAACATGCTCAATGGTGAGACACAAGTCTTTCATCACAGGTCAGGGGCAAAGATGTCTACCCTCAGTTCTTTTCAGCATACCAGTAGATGTCATCGCTAGAACCACTAGACAAGGAAGTGGAAAAGAATGCTAACACAATAGGAAGACAAGCAATTGTCTCTATTTGTGGAGCACAGGATTTGAGGACACATAGAAAACCCTGAAGGCTCCACCAAAACCCAGCAAGAAGTGATAAAAACAGTAAAGTTTAAGAATACAAAATAACATGGAAAAAAAAATCAGTAATAGCTCTTTATGCTAAAAAAAAAAAAAGGGGTTCATAAAAGAAATCAGGGCTTTGGGGTATCAAACTGAGAAACATTGGCAAAGAAAATGAAACCATTAAAGTTATGAGACAACCTGAAGAATGGGAAAAAAAACTGCAATCCATCCATCCAATAGAGAGCTAATATTCAAAGTATAATGGCAAGAAAGAAAATGACCTGTTTAAAGATGGGGAGGGCTCTTACATAGACATTTCTCAAGATGAGACATCTAAATGGCCAATACGCATGCCACATAAATTAAAAATGAAAAAAAATCTCAGGATCACAAATCATAAAGGAAAAATGCATAAAAATCATGTCACCTCACACCTCACACTTTAAAAAGAGGGAAAACAACATTTTGGAGAAGATGTAGTGAAATGGGAGCGGCTGTCCACTGATGGGCAAAATAAGAGATTAAATTCAAAGTGCTTCGCCACAAAAGATGCATAAATACAGTGATGTGTCCATCAGTTTGATCATGCTACATTACATATGTATGTCAAGCCACCTCCACTGTGACCCATAAATGCAGACAATTATGATTCATAGGTCGCAAGAGAAAGAAGGAGCAAGAGAAGGAGGGAGGAAGAAATAAAACAATTCAATTAATGCAACAACCAGAATTACCCACCTGGAAACAGGGAAGGAATTGGAGGCAGACTCTACAAAAGGAAAGAGAAGCTGAAAGACAAATGTCCAAATGGGGTAGCAGAGGATGCTGGATAGCACCCACAGCTGTGTGAACAGATCCTAGGGCTCCAGCTGTGCTAAGCCAGAGTCTTAGTACAAATATGCCTGATCCTAAGCACAGCTGCTTAAAGGGAACAGTGTAACTTCTGACCTTTCATATGTGTATCATGCTTGTGCTCCAAGAAGTACTGTGACTCTATTAGTACTCACACTTTATGCTTAAAAGTAATTATCATCTATATGAAAAAAATCCATCTGCTGTTCTTTAATATTTTCAAATACACCATTTATTTCTCCCTAATTTTGTCTATCGCAAAGTGTCTTTAACAACAAAATGTTGGAGGTAGCTCAAGCATCTAAAAAAGAGAAATTAAAAATATCCTCTGTATCTCACACAGCTCCAGAGTACCACCCTCTGTCCTCTGGGTGATTTGTGGTTTTGCCACTGTTGTGTCCTAGGTCAGAAGGAGACCCCTGGGGACCACAGCATGTACTTTAAAAATGATAACAGTACTTTTAATTGATGCATGAAAACATTGGTGAAGCCTTTTTTGAACTGGCCTTGTGCTAGGTGAGAGACACTTTCTGCACTTCTCTGGCTGTCCACCAGTGGTCTGAACATTCAGCTCCCTTGGGTTAGCACAATAGTAATAGAGGAAATTCTAACCACCCCTTCTTACTCTGAGCTACCCCATAATAGTCAAGATGCCTGCTGTATACTGTTGTACCAGCTGAATTCAAAACTCCTTTCCACAGACTGAGTTACCAGGTTACTATTAATGAGGCCCTAAACATAAAAGGCTATGCAGAAAGGTAAGTTGATCTTGGACATTGAGAGGGATTAAGCTGTGATATTACTTCCCCCATGAAAATGTACAGCCTCCTATTGGTTATGTAATCGTGTGGGTATTTGGTAGGTTTAAGCTTCAGTTCTGTATTGAATCTGTGACACAGGTGTGCAGAGAGTCCAAATGGTCCCTCACACTTGGAAGTTACTATTTCCCTTTCAGTTTCTGTAATCTTTGGAATCGTTTGCTGTTACTGCATATCCAGGCACATTCATATCTCCTCTGCTTTCACACTAATATTAACCAAGGATCTATAATTTATTGCCACTAAGAATTCCTTATAAGGGTTGAAATACCTCTTTCCCTAGAGAGAAAACATTTCAACAGCTCATATTAATGACTGATGCTCTAATTCTTGAGGCCATGAAACTTTTTTTGTGGGTTCCAAGGCTAATACCACATACAGAGGGTTAGCTTAATCCATAGCTGTTATCTAAGGGAAAGACATGCTAGTGGAACTTAAAGATGTAAGTGTCTATGTCACAGCATTCTAGCCAGAAACACCTTGAAGGAAAGACAGCTCCTGAATGTAAAAAAACAAACCAAAACAAAAACACTGCTAAGAACCAAGCATGGTCCCAGAGAACCAGAGTCCCTCTGAAATGGCCTGAGCATTAGGATAGGACTCAAACT